TCATAGGCAAGTTGCTCAGCCTCTCTGAGGCTTAGGTGCTCAGGTGAACAATGGGCATTGGGCCTTCCTTGGAGGGTTGTTGTGAGATGGATTAGTCAATGCATATTCCCCTAGGGCTCATGGATGGTACTTGGTAAACGTGAGTTGTCCCTTGAGCTGCTCTCTAACATAAGCCTCCAGTTCTTTCTGCATCTCACCCTGGTCTGGATATCTACTAATCTGGCCACATGTGCTGTGCCATGTCTGCCCCACCTCTCCTGCTACACTATCATTCCCCTCAGAGTGATGAGAAGCGACTCTCATAGCAGCTGCCAAGCTGTGTGGGCAAGTACCTGGCCCCGCAGGGAGGTATGGCCATTCTTCCCTCTTCTGCCCCACAGGATTCTTAGTCTTGCTCTCCTTTTATGCCCTTCACCACAACCCGAATGTGTGGCCAAACCCAGAGGTACGATGGCCTTGGGAGGATGGGATGGGGGAATCTCTGCATGCCAATCCTTCCTCCTGTTCCATTTCTGGGTGTGTCCTGAGGTTGAAAGGAAGAAGGAGCTGGCCCCACCTATCCTGGCCCTTGGGTTCCTCTGCAGGTGTTTGACCCTTCCCGCTTTGCACCAGATGCCTCTCGACACAGCCATGCTTTCCTGCCCTTCTCAGGAGGATCAAGGTGAGGCACTTGTACTGGGATGGGAAGAGAGGGCTGTTTACTAGGAACATTCCTGTTGTTTGTCACTTCCTACATTTACATGGGTGTTGCAGATATGCTCTGACATGTTGGTGTGCTGGGAAAGAGGTGTGTGTCTCTATGTATGAAAGAAACTTGGTAATCACTGCAGGCTATGGAAACTTTGACCCATTGCTCTCACTCAGTCTCCAGCCACAATTCAGTCAGTGGCTATTCAATGGCTCGAGGCATTCTTGTGATTTCTTCACTTTATGAGGATGACTTTACTGAACTGGACATTCTCACATGCAGTTTTCAAGTGTTGTCAATGTCAAGTCAGGATGGAATCAAAGATTTCTTTTGCACACATTCTGAAACCAGACCTTCTCCCCACTCAACCCCCATACTGCACCATTGCCTAGGTGCATGTGTTTCCATCCTCAGTTGCCTGCATGTCTGAAATATTTAAGCCTACAGAGGAAAATATCCTGCAATCTCTTAAGGGCCTCAGAAGTATTCAACTTGTGACTACAGTATTTTTGCATCTATGCAAAAGAATTTTGGACTGCATGGAAATGATCATGAATGCTTGACAGTTTTCTCAGTTGTGAAATCATTACATGTGATCTGGGCTCTACATACCTGAATTTTACACTTTGAGTCCAAAAGATGGGTAGAGAGTCTCAGGAGAGGGGTAAACACCTCATATCCTAGCTAGAACTAATGGAGATTTTGTTTATTCTTTTCTGCTTTCCTATTCAATTCAGTAAACATCATTCAATATCTAAGACTAATCATTAAGCCTGACTCTGCCAAGCCTATGCTATGAGATGCAATACTGCCCTTGACTCAGGGAATGCTCAGTCAAAAAATGAATGACTCTACTCAAAAAAGTCATCATCTTTGATTCTTTCTTTCCCTCACTCATTTACTAATTGACCGCACAGTAGGAAGTTCCTCTTCTGGCACTCTCCTGGTCTGGAAAGTGACATGTCTTTGAGTAAAATACCGTGTGATTCAGGGTCCACGAGTGAAGAGGCATAGCACACAGGGGTGGATGTGTGTGGGGGTTCATGAGGACATACTGGCCTTATGCTAGACTTGAGAATGCAGCAGGCAGAAGTGGAGGGAGAGCATTCTCCTGGATCTCCTCAGCAGGAGCTGAGCTGGGAGACAGCTGGACAAGACACAGGTGACTGTGTGAACAACCCTGAGAGGGTTTTGATGACAGGCTGAACTTTGTGAACATGCCTACCTGTGATGGAAGACGTGGGAGGCTAAGAGCATGGGAGGGTGGGGCATCAGGAGAGGGATAAGAGGCAGGAGATAGAAAAGTCCAGGTGAGGCGGTAGCTGAAGGATTCACTTCTGGAGTAGAAGTGGTTGACTGAGGGACCAATGGGAAGGTAAGAGTCTGGACCCAAACTGGAAGGCAAATGGCACAGCAGCTTGAGCATCCCTAAGGCTCTGCCCCTGCAGGAAGCTTCCCTGTTGACTTCCTTACCCAACTCCATCTTGTCATTTCTATGAGGATCTGGGGCCCTGTGTGCCTCCTGAATATGGTTAGAACCTGAAGTGTGGCCCAGCCCACCCCCTCTGGTGCCCTGGCCTGGCCTCCACATTGTGAAACCAGAAATGGCTGGTGCAGAGAGCAAAGAACCTAATGATTAACTGTTGTAGTGATCACTTGACTTGGCTCTGAATCTCAAAGTGTTGACCCTCCTGTAACAGGGTTTCAGGCCTGCTGAGAGCAGAGGTAAGAGGAGGAGCTGATCCTGGAAGAGTATAGGCTTTTGTCAGAGGTCAAGGGGAGAGTGTTAACAAAGCAAGGCTTGGGGTAGAGATGTGCATGTGTCCAGGGAAGGGGATCAGGGCTGGGTCCATGCAGGCTGGCCCTGAAGGGACTGTTCTTGGCAGGGACTTCAAGGCCACTCCTCATTTCCTTTTCCCTCCCTGACCCAGGAACTGCATTGGGCAGCACTTTGCCATGAACGAGATGAAGGTGGCAGTGGCCCTGACCCTGCTCCACTTTGAGCTGGCACCAGATCCCTTCAGGATCCCTGTACCCACTCCAAAAATTGTGTTGATGTCCAAGAATGGGATCCACCTCCGTCTCAGGAAGCTCCTCTAACCCTTGTGGGGACAAGGATGAGCCCCAAGGGCCTCCTGCCTGCCATTCTATCTTCCTGTCAGTCTCTCCTGTCTGCTGGCTTCTGCTCACTTCCTGCTTCCTGTCTGCCCACCTGCCAGCCTTCCTGCTCTCCTGCTCCTGCATATCAGACTGTCTGTGCTTCTGTCTCACCCTTTTCCAAGATTCCTTCTTGTTTGCTTATTACAATCTCCTACCCAGCTGTCCCTCTGACTGCCCACTTGATGCTGTCTGTTCCCCAACCTGCCTGTCCTCTGCATGTCTTTCCCCTTTTGCGCCTATTTGGTTGTCCCTATATTATTTTCCTCTGTCTGCTATGCCAACTTACTCCAGCCTCAGTGACTTAGAACAACACAAACTTGTTCTCTTACATTCTGGAGCTCAAAGTCTAAAATGGATTTTGTTGGACCACAGCCAAGATATTGGCCTGGTCCCACTACCTCTAGGCCCTAAGGGAGAATCCCTCTCTGCCTTGTCCAGCATCAAGCTGCATTCTTTCCAATCTTTAGCTCCTGGAGCCTCCTCTTTTCAAATGCAACAGCGTCTTTCAATGTCTTTCTGCTTCTGTCTTCAGATCCCCTTGTCTTCCATAAGGAGTTTTGTGATTAGACAGGTACGCTCAGAGAGAACAGACATACTTCAGCTTCGAGACATATCCCTCCTGCTATTCATGCTTCCCCTATTAGAAGCCCACAGACCTGGAAGGTTGGCTCCTTGGGGAGCCAAGATTCAGCCTGCTTAGTCCTTTTGTGATTCCTATTCGTCCTTGCTTCTAGCTTTCTCCTGTGTGTTACCTGTGTACCCATTTGATATTCACATACCCTCTTCTTTCCTCCTCCCACAAATAAAGTTTTAATGTTATATGGAGTGTGTGTTTTCCCTTTGAGGTAGATAAATGGAAGAGAAGAGAGAGAAAGGGAGCAAAGACAAAGGAGACAAAGAAGGGAGGTAGTATCTGCTCTGTGATGCCGGGACCCCAGGAAGGCCAGATGTGTCCCATTGCCTCAGGCCATGGAGTGGGCTTTCCAGGACACACTAGGGGGAGCCCATGCAGGCAAATGGATTGGCCAGTGGAAAAGGATGTCAGACTCCAATCAGCAAACTACTGGTGGCACCTCTCCCACAGGAAAGCCCCTTGGCAGTCCTTTGAATCTCTGGCCAGCCACCTTGAGTGGGAAGGGGCTTCTTCAACCCTGCCCTATTATGTGACTGCCTGGGTGCTAGTCCTTCTGGCCCTGGACCCTGTTCCCAGGCCTTCGTTGCCCTCCTCCATCAGCCCCTCTCAACCCAGCCACTATTCTGTGGGTTCTAAATACAGATCTTCCTTCTGTCCTACTCACTTTCATTCCTACCTAGCCCAGACCCTGGATATCATAAACAGACCTCCCTACCTGCAGCCTTTTGCCTGTGGTGTAATGCACATTCTGCCTCCCTGAAGGGGCTTCTCCCCCAGCTGGTGCTTGCATCCAGGACCTCCCTTTCAGTCCCATGGCTTCCTGGGTCACTGGGCTAGTTCAGCCCTGCTTTAAGAAAGGGCAGGGTGGATGCTTACTGTTTGACTAGGGATTGGGGCAAAAAAGTAAGCTGGGAAAGTGCTAGACATGAAGATGGACAGATTCCCTGGCATCTGGTGGTACAGAGGGGCAGAGGCTAGCCAGACTCAGAGAGTTCAAGACAATAGGAACTTGGAATTCTGGGTGACCAGCCATGGACACGTGCTCTAACCACAGGATTATGTTGAAGGTAAAGAATCTGACCAAGAAGTGACCCTGCTAGCTCGAGGCAAAGGAAAAAATCCTGGGGTGAGTTCACATTCATATGCACTACCCCTAAGACACATATTTGCATAACCACACCTGTGTGTATCCCCTCACACCCTCTACACTCTACCATACAGGTGCACAAAAATGCCTGGGGTCCTAGGAGGCAATGGGGTGTGTTTGGAGGGCTGGAAGGATTAAGTGGAATTCATCTTTGGTGCCCACTAGTCTGTAGCCTTGGTCCTCCCCTCCCACGTGGAGCCTCCCTCTTCTGTCAGGTTCTGGTGTTCTCAGCTCCACTTCCCACCAACACGAGCTTTCAGAGAGACAGTTAATATGCCTGTGAAGTCTTGGTCAAAAGAGGCCAAAGTCAGAAGGCTTTAGTTCAAGCTGTTTTCTTTTTTTTTTTTTCCCAAGCTGTTTTCTGATGAGCATCTTGGCAGTTTCCTTCCTCTGACATTGAAGTAGGGTAAATCCTGCCTCATAAATCTCCTGATAATCCAGAGGTAATGAAAGTAGGTAAGTCTTAAACTTGAGTACCACCCATTGGCCACAGTTGGTTATGACCTCTGGGTTCTGCTCGCAGGTGATAACTACTGCCACATTCCTCTGCTGGCATGGAGAAAGATCTGTCCAGGGGCAGGACAGAGAGGGAAGTTGGTGGCATGGGTGACACCCTGGCTGAGGTCTCTGTATCCCAGCCTCAGGTGGGCAAGAAGGTCTGGGTCCTGACGGGGCTTTGCAGGAGTGAGCAGGTGGCCCATAGCCAACCTTCCAAGGCTGTGGTCTTCTTCTAAGAGGGAAAGGATGAATAGCAGGAAGGATGTGTCTCCAGATGGTACGTCCCCAGGGCAACAGAGATATCCCCAAGTCCCAGAGCTAGAATTCCTCTCTCTGATCCTTCCCCTTAGTCTCCAGTGTCCTCCCTTCCACTGTTGTCTAATTCCTGGATTAGAACCCACTAGTGGCCTTAGACCTTGAACTCTAGAGGTACATGCTGCAGGGACTACAGTGAAGAATCTCTAATCTGTCATGTGGCCCCAGCCCAAAGCCTTCCCCTAAAGTCATTCTCGGCACCTTTATACCTCAAGGTTTGATTCAAGCACTATCTCTTCCAGGAAACCCCCCTTGAATGCCACTCTGCCACCTTTCTCAACAAAAGCCTGAGCGCTCAGATCACTGAGTGACTGTGGCATGGATGCTGACGGTAGTAGGAGAGCTACAGAGACCTGTCTCAGGAGGGGTAGAAGATTCACCTGGAAAAACATATTCCAAATTCCTTGATTTTACTGGTGGTTACCTGGGAATTTACTTTAGAAATTCATTGTCTTGTACATTTTTGTTTGTTTGTTTAAATGTTTTATTTATTTGACAGAGAGAGAGAACAAGCAGGGGGAGCAGCAGAGGGAGAGGGAGAAGCAGGCTCCCCACTAGGCAGGGAGCCTGATACAGGGCTCCATCCCAGGGCCCTGGGATCAGGACCTAAGCCAAAGGCTTAGCCAACGGAGCCACCCAGGTGCCCCTGTACCATTTTGTTTACCCAATTTGTCTTTATGTCTGTTATATTACACACATGCACAAACACAGTTAAGCAGAGACATATATCTCAGTGAAGGGGAAAGCCCAAAAGCCATCCCTCTTTCATAGGGAGTACATGAGGGACTGATCATAATCATGAAGCCCAAGACACAGCTTCCATTGTATTCATTGTGTCACCACAACTGGCATATAAGTTTCTGCTACATTCTAGAAATATTGCCAATTATAGGAGATAAAGGAAGATTCCAGAAACAAGTAGGTGTTCACCATATGTTTGCTGAATAAATGAATGAGCTCTAGAATACATATATACTAAGCATTTCTGGACACATATGCCTGCATGGCACTGCCCTCCGGGAGATTGTTTATGTGGGTGCCTGCTTGCCTTCTAAACTACAAGCCTCCCAAGACAGAGAGCCACAGCTATTCTACAGTCCAGCCTGAGGAGGGTAGTATCCAGGGAGAGCCACAGTCTCTGGGCTGCCTGGGACCCTGCTCTCAGCAGAGCTACTTCCCAGAGCCCAGGCGTAGCGACTTCAGGCAGAGGTGGATGCCATTCTTGGAGCGCAGGATCAGCTGGGGCATCTTGACAGGAAGCTGCAGGGGGTCCAGGGTGAACTCAAAGCGGAGCAAGCAGAGAGCTGTGACCACCTTCATCTCATTCATAGCAAACTGCTGCCCAATGCAGTTCCTGTTGTAAGCAGCACAAGGTGGCATCAGGTTATGGGGTGTCCAGAGTGAGCAAATTCAGGGCTCTTAGTGGCCAAAAAAAAAAAAACAATAACTATTTGTGGATGAATAATTGGCTGATTGGTTGATTGACTTGGGCTTAGGAAACAGATCTTGGGAGCACAGTGAGGGTCCCCAACTGAGTAGATTCACATTGGGAATTCCGGTTGGAGGACCTTTCTTGGAATGACTCAGCCAGCCCACCAACTGCCAGGGACACGAATATGCTAATGGGAAGAAGAGGGTCCCTGGAACTTACCCTACCTTAGGATCATCAAAAACCCAGAGATGGCTCCCTTATCACAGAGTTCCCAAAATGATGCTTTCCCCACAACATCCTCCATTCTTCCCTCCCCAGTCCTGGGGGCCTGGGGATGTTGGTCCTCTCCTTACCTGGGCCCAGCAGAGAAGGGCATGAAGGCAAAGGGGTGGCGTCTGGCCACATTCTCAGAGGAAAAACGCAGAGGGTCAAAGACCTGAGGGGACAAGACTTGCTTAAATACCTACCAGGTCCTGGGGAGGGTGACCACCATAACCTCCCACCCCATCTGCCCTCCAGGTCCAGGGGTGTGGTACCTCAGGGTCAGGCCACACTGCGCTGTTCCTATGGAGGGCATAGATGTGCAGAGAGATCAGGCTGCCTGTGGGCAGAGCAGAGGCCTGGTAGTTAGGTGGTCCTGGGATAGCCACACCACGTCTTCACAGTGTCAGAATCTCCTAGTGTCCTTCTAACTGGGCACCAGCTCCTGCCTGACCCCTGCCAGTTATGGAGGATTCATGACCACCATCAAGACATCAAAGTGCTGTCGATCATCATCATATCTACACCCCCTAGCCCCAGCACTGGACACAGCACCTAACACAGACATTTATAGAATGGGGAGAGAAAAAGAAGGACTGGAGGTCGGAAAAACAAGGCCTATTACACTTTCTGTTTTCTTTTTTTTTTTTTACACTTTCTGTTTTCAAATAATTGGAGGAAAGTTACTATTCATGACATCATTCTATCAGTAGCAACATCAACCATTCATTGGGTGCATGTTGTGCGCCAGATAGAGTTTAACACTCCTTATAAAGCTACCACATACAGTTGTATAGCTTGGGCACTGTACATCACCATAGTCTATGTGAATGGTGCCTTCTGAAGTTGCTCAGGGCACAACCTACATGGTGGTATAAGAAAGCCCTGGCGAATATTGTCTCTTTCATCCTGACAACAACACTGTCAGGTAAATACTCTTATTGCTCCCATTTTATACAAGAGGAAACAGAAGCTTGAGGTAGAGGGATTTACACTCTACCATACATTGTAGAACCGGGATTTGGACCCAGGCCAACCACAAAGCCTGAGCTCTTCCCCACTTGTGCAAAGATTCACCAAAGGCACAGAGAGTGTCAGAGAAGTATCCACAAGTACTCCAGTTCCACCCTCAGATCCACTCCAACTCACCTGCAGGTAGGGAACGGCCATCCACAAAGTTGACAGGCTTGCTGAGCTGGCGGTATACCTGGGGCACTGGTGGGTAGAGGCGGAAGCTTTCCTTGATGCACATGGTCAAGTAGGTCATCTTCACCAGATCATCCCTGCCAGAAATACAACCAGACCTTTCTGGGCATGGGAAGCAAGGGAATTCCACAGGAAGACAGGGTCCAATTCCATCTTTCCCCCTTAACCACTATGGCACATCCAATGGTGAGACGGACATAGGTGTTCCAAGTGCATAGACCAGATTGGATATGGGGTAGCCACTCTGACCCAAGGAATCTGGTTCCAATTTTCCTTTTTCCCTCCTGTTCTTCTTTTTCTCTGGCTCCTTTTTTCTCCACCTCTCCATCTTCACTGCTAGGAAGGGAAGGCACAGGACCCTAGAGCTGTATGTGAACCCAGCAATCAAGACAATGCCACTCCTGAGTCTCTTAAGGCCCCCACAGAAGCCCCACAAGGGACAATTCTTTAGGTTCCACCTGGTTTCCCATGTGGAACAAGATGGAAAAAAACAGGGGCTGATATATATTGGTTAAATGCAGTAACAAGCTCAGGTAAAAAACAAAACTTATGTTTCCCCTTTGCCACTAGGAAGCTCAGACCCAAATGTGGTTCAGTTATGACTATTGCACAGCACTTTATTACAGAGCCCCAAGCCCTAGGGCTTTTCCACTCAGTCCTCATTTTTTTTAAGATATATTTGACTTTATTAAAACAGGGAACTTATATTCATCCAAAGACACCTTAGGGGAGATGAAATGGCAGTTTACAAACTAGGAGAAGAGATTTTTCAACTAGAATTCACAAAGTATTATATACCGATACTCATTTTCCCTTTGTGCTTTTTTTTATAGTATTGAATAAGTGTTCTTCAAGTTGCTTCAAGTTCTAGATGAAGTGAAAATAAGTATTTTTACTCTCTGCCTCTAGGTGGCGTTCGTGTCGTTACCAACCGGGAAGGCCTATTTGTCTCTTCCTTATCTGAGTTTCACATCTCCTTGGAAAGCCAACTCAAGCGCCAGCCCTTCTGATTCTTCTGCTCTCAACGTGGGGCCTCTCAGCCTTACTCCATTTGGTGGTTTTGTCTAGATTTTTGGTTATGTGAGTTTGTTTTTCTAAAAAAATCCAGGGATCCCCCGGTGGCTCAGCGGTTTAGCGCCTGCCTTTGGCCCAGGGCGTGATCCTGGAGTCCCGGGATCGGGTCCCACGTCAGGCTCCCGGCATGGAGCCTGCTTCTCCCTCTGACTGTGTCTCTGCCTTTCTCTCTCTCTCTCTCTGTCTACCATAAATAAGTAAATAAATAAATAAATAAATAAATAAATAAATAAATCTATCTTTAAAAAAATAAAAGAGGAGGGGCAAGATGGCGGAAGAGTAGGGTCCCCAAACCACCTGTCCCCAAAAATTACCTAGATAACCTTCAAATCATCCTGAAAATCTACGAATTCGGCCTGAGATTTAAAGAGAGAACAGCTGGAACTCTACAGTGAGAAGAGTTCGCGCTTCTATCAAGGTAGGAAGACTCCGCACTGAGCAAAATGACTAGAAGGAAAACCTCACCTCAAAAGAAAGAATCAGAAACAGCCCTCTCTCCCACAGAGCTACAAAATCTGGATTACAATTCAATGTCAGAAAGCCAATTCAGAAGCACTATTATACAGCTACTGGTGGCTCTAGAAAAGAGCATTAAGGACTCACGAGACTTCATGACTGCAGAATTTAGATCCAATCAGGCAGAAATTAAAAATCAACTGAATGAGATGCAATCCAAACTAGAAGTCCTAACGACGAGGGTTAACGAGGTGGAAGAATGAGTGAGTGACATAGAAGACAAGTTAATGGCAAAGAGGGAAACTGAGGAAAAAAGAGACAAACAATTAAAGGACCATGAAGACAGATTAAGGGAATTAAATGACACCCTAAGGAAGAAAAACCTACGTTTAATTGGGGTTCCCGAGGGCGCCGAAAGGGACAGAGGGCCAGAATATGTATTTGAACAAATCCTAGCTGAAAACTTTCCCAATCTGGGAAGGGAAACAGGCATTCAGATCCAGGAAATAGAGAGATCCCCCCCTAAAATCAATAAAAACCGTTCAACACCTCGACATCTAATAGTGAAGCTTGCAAATTCCAAAGATAAAGAGATCCTTAAAGCAGCAAGAGACAAGAAGTCCCTGACTTTCATGGGGAGGAATATTAGGGTAACAGCAGACCTCTCCACAGAGACCTGGCAGGCCAGAAAGGGCTGGCAGGATATATTCAGGGTCCTAAATGAGAAGAACATGCAACCAAGAATACTTTATCCAGCAAGGCTCTCATTCAAAATGGAAGGAGAGATAAAGAGCTTCCAAGACAGGCAGGAACTGAAAGAATATGTGACCTCCAAACCAGCTCTGCAAGAAATTTTAAGGGGGACTCTTAAAATTCCCCTTTAAGAAGAAGTTCAGTGGAACAATCCACAAAAACAAGGACTAAATAGATATCATGATGACACTAAACTCATATCTGTCAATAGTAACTCTGAACGTGAACGGGCTTAATGACCCCATCAAAAGGCACAGGATTTCAGACTGGATAAAAAAGCAGGACCCATCTATTTGCTGTCTACAAGAGACTCATTTTAGACAGAAGGACACCTACAACCTGAAAATAAAACGTTGGAGAACCATTTACCATTCAAATGGTTCTCAAAAGAAAGCAGGGGTAGCCATCCTTATATCAGATAAACTAAAATTCACTCCGAAGACAGTAATGAGAGACAAAGAGGGACACTATATCATACTTAAAGGATCTATCCAACAAGAGGACTTAACAATCCTCAATATATATGCCCCGAATGTGGGAGCTGCCAAATACTTAAACGAATTATTAACCAAAGTAAAGAAATACTTAGATAATAATACACTTATACTTGGTGACTTCAATCTAGCTCTCTCTACCCTTGATAGGTCTTCTAAACACAACATCTCCAAAGAAACAAGAGCTTTAAATGATACACTGGACCAGATAGATTTCACAGATATCTACAGAACTTTACATCCAAACTCAACTGAATACACATTCTTCTCAAGTGCACATGGAACTTTTTCCAGAATAGACCACATACTGGGTCACAAATCGGGTCTGAACCGATACCAAAAGATTGGGATCGTCCCCTGCATATTCTCAGACCATAACGCCTTGAAATTAGAACTCAATCACAACAAGAAGTTTGGAAGGACCTCAAACACGTGGAGGTTAAGGACCATCCTGCTAAAAGATGAAAGGGTCAACCAGGAAATTAAGGAAGAATTAAAAAGATTCATGGAAACTAATGAGAATGAAGATACAACTGTTCAAAATCTTTGGGATGCAGCAAAAGCAGTCCTGAGGGTGGAATACATCGCAATACAAGCATCCATTCAAAAACAGGAAAGAACTCAAATACAAAAGCTAACCTTACACATAAAGGAGCTAGAGAAGCAGCAAATCGACCCGACGCCCAGCAGAAGAAGAGAGTTAATTAAGATTCGAGCAGAACTCAACGAAATTGAGACCAGAAGAACTGTGGAACAGATCAATAGAACCAGGAGTTGGTTCTTTGAAAGAATTAATAAGATAGATAAACCATTAGCCAACCTTATTAAAAAGAAGAGAGAGAAGACTCAAATTAATAAAATCATGAATGAGAAAGGAGAGATCACTACCAACACCAAGGAAATACAAACGATTTTAAAAACATATTATGAACAGCTCTACGCCAATAAATTAGGCAATCTAGAAGAAATGGACGCATTCCTGGAAAGCCACAAACTACCAAAACTGGAACAGGAAGAAATAGAAAACCTGAACAGGCCAATAACCAGGGAGGAAATTGAAGCAGTCATCAAAAACCTCCCAAGACACAAGAGTCCAGGGCCAGATGGCTTCCCAGGGGAATTCTATCAAACGTTTAAAGAAGAAATCATACCTATTCTACTAAAGCTGTTTGGAAAGATAGAAAGAGATGGAGTACTTCCAAATTCATTCTATGAGGCCAGCATCACCTTAATTCCAAAACCAGACAAAGACCCCACCAAAAAGGAGAATTACAGACCAATATCCCTGATGAACATGGATGCAAAAATTCTCAACAAGATACTAGCCAATAGGATCCAACAACACATTAAGAAAATTATTCACCATGACCAAGTAGGATTTATCCCCGGGACACAAGGCTGGTTCAACACTCGTAAAACAATCAATGTGATTCATCATATCAGCAAGAGAAAAACCAAGAACCATATGATCCTCTCATTAGATGCAGAGAAAGCATTTGACAAAATACAGCATCCATTCCTGATCAAAACTCTTCAGAGTGTAGGGATAGAGGGAACTTTCCTCGATATCTTAAAAGCCATCTACGAAAAGCCCACAGCAAATATGATTCTCAATGGGGAAGCACTGGGAGCCTTTCCCCTAAGATCAGGAACCAGACAGGGATGTCCACTCTCACCACTGCTATTCAACATAGTATTGGAAGTCCTAGCCTCAGCAATCAGACAACAAAAAGACATTAAAAAGGCATTCAAATTGGCAAAGAAGAAGTCAAACTCTCCCTCTTCGCCGATGACATGATACTCTACATAGAAAACCCAAAAGCCTCCACCCCAAGATTGCTAGAACTCATACAGCAATTTGGTAGCGTGGCAGGATACAAAATCAATGCCCAGAAATCAATGGCATTCCTATACACTAACAATGAGACTGAAGAAAGAGAAATTAAGGAGTCAATCCCATTTACAATTGCACCCAAAAGCATAAGATACCTAGAAATAAACCTAACCAAAGAGGTAAAGGATCTATACCCTAAAAACTATAGAACACTTCTGAAAGAAATTGAGGAAGACACAAAGAGATGGAAAAATATTCCATGCTCATGGATTGGCAGAATTAATATTGTGAAAATGTCAATGCTACCCAGGGCAATTTACACGTATAATGCAATCCCTATCAAAATACCATGGACTTTCTTCAGAGACTTAGAACAAATTATTTTAAGATTTGTGTGGAATCAGAAAAGACCCCGAATAGCCAGGGGAACTTTAAAAAAGAAAACCATAGCTGGGGGCATCACAATGCCAGATTTCAGGTTGTACTACAAAGCTGTGGTCATCAAGACAGTGTGGTACTGGCACAAAAACAGACACATAGACCAATGGAACAGAATAGAGAACCCAGAAATGGACCCTGAACTTTATGGTCAACTAATATTCGATAAAGGAGGAAAGACGATCCACTGGAAGAAAGACAGTCTCTTCAATAAATGGTGCTGGGAAAATTGGTCATCCACATGCAGAAGAATGAAACTAGACCACTCTCTTGCACCATACACAAAAATAAACTCAAAATGGATGAAAGATTTAAATGTGAGACAAGACTCCATCAAAATCCTAGAGGAGAACACAGGCAACACCCTTTTTGAACTTGGCCACAGTAACTTCTTGCAAGATACATCCACGAAAGGAAAAGAAACAAAAGCAAAAATGAACTATTGGGACTTCATCAAGATAAGAAGCTTTTGCACAGCAAAGGATACAGTCAACAAAACTCAAAGACAACCTGCAGAATGGGAGAAGATATCTGCAAATGACGTATCAGATAAAGGGCTAGTTTCCAAAATCTATAAAGAACTTATTCAACTCAACAGCAAAGAAACAAACAATCCAATCATGAAATGGGCAAAAGACATGAAGAGAAATCTCAGAGGAAGACATAGACATGGCCAACAAGCACATGAGAAAATGCTCTGCATCACTTGCCATCAGGGAAATACAAATCAAAACCACAATGAGATATCACCTCACACCAGTGAGAATGGGGAAAATTAACAAGGCAGGAAACCACAAATGTTTGAGAGGATGCGGAGAAAAGGGAACCCTCTTACACTGTTGGTGGGAATGTGAACTGGTGCAGCCACTCTGGAAAACTGTGTGGAGGTTCCTCAAAGAGTTTAAAATAGACCTGCCCTACGACCCAGCCATTGCACTGTTAGGGATTTACCCCAAAGACTCAGATGCAATGAAACGCCGGGACACCTGCACCCCGATGTTTCTAGCAGCCATGTCCACAATAGCCAAACTGTGGAAGGAGCCTCGGTGTCCATCGAAAGATGAGTGGATGAAGAAGATGTGGTTTATGTATACAATGGAATATTACTCAGCCATTAGAAACGACAAATACCCACCATTTTCTTCAACGTGGATGGAACTGGAGCGTTTTATGCTGAGTGAAGTAAGTCAATCGGAGAAGGACAAACAGTGTATATTCTCATTCATTTGGGGAATATGAATAATAGTGAAAGGGAATATAAGGGAAGGGAGAAGAAATGTGTGGGAGATATCAGAAAGGGAGACAGAAAAGACTCCTAACTCTGGGAAATGAACTAGGGGTGGTGGAAGGGGAGGAGGGCGGGGGGTGGGGGTGAATGGGTGACGGGCACTGAGGGGGACACTTGACGGGATGAGCACTGGGTGTTATTCTGTATGTTGGTAAATTGAACACCAATAAAAATTAATTTATAAAAAAAATAAATAAAAATTAAAAAAATTAAAAATAAATAAAAATATCCAAAGGGCAGCAACTTGGCTCCTTCTCCTCCTCTCCCCACCTGGTACCCCTAGAAGCACTGGCACGTGGCTGGACACCCTGGGAGGTTTCCAACATCTGCCAATAAAAGTGGATGGTGGAGACACCAAATCTCAGATCCTGAAACTATAGGTCAGTCTCCCTCAGGTGAATCTAAAGTCTCTCCCATGGACTGAGCATTTTCTGTGCTGTGTTGTGTACCTAACTCCACGCTGGAGGCAGCACAGGTGACATATGTGACAGGAGGCCAAGCATATGGCCATCCAAAGGCAGGTGTGCAGGAGGAGGATGGGCGGCAGGCAGCTCCCCAGCTATCCCAGCTGTATTCATCCCCAACTCCCTCCTCTTTTTCTCTCTCCTTCTCTTTCTCTTTCTCTCTCTCTTTCTTTCTCCCAGTGCCCCATTGTTCCATCTAGCAATCCAGAAGGGCAGTCAGGTTCTGCCTTCAGGAGTAAGCGCACAAAAAAGTCACTGGTCACTTGGGCAGAGGGATCAGGGAAGGTTTCCTGGTGTAGGAGGCATCCAAGCTGTGCCTGGGAGGACAGATAGGAATCTGGGAGAAGGTCTCCCAGATTCCTATCTGTGAATTGTCAATAGTCCTGTTTAAAGGACTATGAGAGAATGAGCTCAGGGGTATATCCTCAGAGCTCCCCCACAGAAGCCTCAGCTGGTGAGAACAGGAAACTGCCACCATCCTCCCCTGGTTTCCAGGATGGCCATGCATCACCTGAAGATGACCCCGGATAGCATAAGCCCAGCACATCCCCAGGACAGAGACACAGGACAGCCTGGGATCACCCATAGCCTCACTCACCACTGGAAGGAATCCCGGTCCCCAAGGATTTCGCAGACCTCCTCCCGACAACGATGCTGGTGCTGGGGGTAGAGAGCCATGCAGTAGAGAAACCAGGAAATGCCACTGGTGGTGGTGTCATGGCCTTCAAACATGAATGTGTCTACCTCAGCCCGGAGGTCTGCGTCTGACAACTTGATCCCATTTTCATCCTGGGTTAGGGAAGGCATAATGGGACAGCCCAAGACATTTGAGATAGGTACCAACAGGACCTCATAACAGTTCTCAAGTGAAGGTCTGAGGGAGGGGAGGAAAGCTCCTTTTCAGACTGAGGGTTGAGACCTTCTCCCAGATTCCTAATCCTCCCAGGCACAGGAGCTTGGATGCCTCCTACTCCAGGAATCCTTCCCTGATCCCTCTGCCCAAGTGATCTGTGACCTTACCCAGCCCTAACTGTCAATTCTGCTCAGAGTGCCACCTGGCAGAGGAGAGATCTTTGTCAACATCTACCTCCTATCTCCTGCACTAGACTGTAAATGTCTGGGGAACAAGGCCAGGTCTTTCTCATCTTCTACATGGGAACTAACCCAGAGTAGGGGTTAGTGAGTTTGGAGAGTGGATGAATAAAGGGATGAATGAATAAATGATGAATGAATGAATGAATGAATGAATGGCATTCAAGATTCTAAGATTCTTCGGTCTTAGAAGTCTAGAATTGGTGGGCACTTTGGTGGTTCAGTCAGTTGAGCATCCAACTCTTGATTTCGGCTCAGGTCATGATCTCAGGGTGGTGAGATCAAGCCATGCATCTGGTTCCATGCTAGGCTTGGAGCCTGCTTAGGATTCTCTCTCTCCCTCTGCCCCTCCCTGCCCCACCCCTCCACCCTTCTCTCTCTCTCTAAGAAAAAAAAGAAAGAAGTCTAGAATTGGTCTTTAGGGCTCTAGCATGTGACCCATCTCCCTGCTACTTATGCCTCTCCCCAATGCCACAGCCAGCCACATCCTGCACCTTGCCATCTCTGAGGCTTTGCTGATGTGTTCATAAGACAAGGAGCAGGCCATATTTGCTGGAGGAAAAGGAGGGAAATGCTTAACAGCCTCAGCCACTGTCCAGCAAACCCTGTCCAAGAAAAATGTCCTCAAGACCGCTCTGAGAGAAGTTCTCGGTGGGGGTGGCCAACCGTGCACTCACTCACCCGAGCCCCCAGGAGAATGTCCAAGAAGTCCAGGTGCCTCCGGTTCTGGATCTTCTCCTGCTCTTTCTCATCCTGCAGGGCTGCCTTTCGTTCCCTGATGACTTGGTCTGGGCCAGGAGCACAGAGAGTCATTGCCAGGGGGACCCATCCTCTACCCGTAGGGGGACAGAGATCCTGTAATGGCAGGGGTCCCAGAGGGGCCTGAAGGAGCTAGACTGGACCCTTCCTGTGGGGTGGGCTCTGTGGGAAAGGCCCACCTGTGTGGTCGTGGGCTGCCTGGCAGGCCCGCAGGAAGCGGCGGCCATGTGGGGTGAGCCAGTAGATGAAGTCGTTATGGTACTGGAAGGACTCGATGCGCTCCTGCATCAGCAGAGTGAGATCGCGGACAGCCGAGTAGTAGCTACTTTCCCTACACAGGAGAAGAGCAGGGAGGAGCTTTCAGACCCTGACCCCCAGTGGAACCTGGGGCGTTGCACTCTAGCATCTGGGCCCAACCACAGGGCTCCCTGCCCTCCTCTCTCTGCCGTGAAGCTTCCCTGCTAAAGGCAGAATCTGTCTCCCCACCATGGGCAAGGCCCTCCTACCCCCACCCAAGCTGGGACTCCCTAGGGCAGGACCCCATGTCCTCTCAGACCAGGGCCCCGGGGGTCCTGCTGACTCCCATCTGAGCTGGCCTGGGTAGAGACTGTGGTCAGCCCCCGAGTACCCCCTGACCTGTGGCCCAGACTGCTGTCTCCTTTGCCAAAGGTGCACTTCATGAGGGAGTCCAGTGCCATGTAGCCCACGTCACAGAAGATGTCAAAGCTCTTATCCTCACGAGCCTTTTCCTCCCACTTGTCCTGGAGCCCAGAGATGGAGGGTAATGTCAGGGGGTCAGCTGGGCACCCAGCCTCTTCCCTCAAGGACCCACACACACCTGTCCTCTCCCCCATGCACCAAGTCCCTTGCCTGGCCTCCAGCCCACTGGAATGCAGAGGTAAGGGCTTCAGGCTAGGGTGGCACCACAAGGCAGACCTGAGCCAGGCAGCTCACATAAGGGAAGAGGAAGGCTGAGAGGTGGGGATCTCCCCAGCACAGCCTGTGTACAATCAGGCCTGCCATGATGCTGGGGAGGAGTTTTCTGCAAGGGAAAAGACTAGCCTGGGTAACTTCTGGGGAATATCCAGCCCTGAGACTCAGAGCCTGACCCCTGACCTTGGGCATCCCTTTCAGAGATGAGTTGCTAATGATATTGTTTTAGGCAAATGTGGTAGGCAGAGAATGAGGAGGAGGCACTTTCCAGATGTGAAAGACCTTTCTAGCATTATCAAATATAGGCATCCATCTAGTCTGCGACAAGAGAAGACTTACCTGGGCCTCATAGAGGCCTTTGACCTCTATTGAAGAAGGGGGCCTGGCTCTCCCAGTGGACATGAGGGCCACAGCTGCCCAGCCACTCGGAGCCTCAGCACCTGGTCAACACCCAGTATGCAGTAGGTGTCAGGAACAACACAGTTTGGCACTGCTACTGCCAGCAGAATGAGGTCTCAGGGACTTGGTGAATCTCCTCATCGCCCTCCCCCAGGGAAAACTGGAGCTGGAGAGAGGCTGGCCCAGCAGCCGCAGCCTCCAGGAGCCTGGCACTGGGAGCTCACCAGCATAGCGTGTGTGGAGTTGGTGAACACAGCCACGTAGGATTTCAGCACATCATAGTGGAAGCCAGGTGTGAGCAGCTTGCGGTGCTGATACCACTTGGGCCCCTGGAGGACCAGGAGGCCTTTCCCTGGGGAAGAGATGACAGAGGGAAAGCTGATCAGTCCACACAATCCTGCCCCATCCGTGGCAGCCCGGGGGTGCCACCCCAGTCCTTCTTGCCCAGCCGCATGTCCCAGCCCAGCTCCACCTTCCAGCCACCCAGCCTTGTAGCCATTCCTCTCCTCAGGCTTTTGTCTGGCCAACACCACCCACAAAATCTCCTGGGATTGTACTCCAGTGCCACCTCCTCCAGGAAGCTGTTCCTCATACTCACATATTTTCCAGAGCCCTTGCTCAGCCTTTCCAAGGAAGAGGACATGCCCAGGAGGAGAAGGTACCTGAGCCCCACTTTCCCCAGCCAGCTGGAAGTTCTCTTGTCTCTTTCCCTGTCTCCCCATTGAGCAGCTAATCTTAGGAGGGGCATTTGGGGGCCAGGTGGTCCCATGTGAGATAACAGACTCAGTGGGCATGGTCAGAGAGGGATGGAACTGGGAAGGATCCTGGTAACCCAGCATCAAGGGCGGGGAAGGCAGGCGCCCACTCACCAATCCACGGCAGAAAGAAGTCATACACATCTGCAGCCTTCGGATCTGCAGGAGAAAGAGAAGACGGGTCATGCAGAAACTAGCAGGTACCCAGAGGAGGCTTACTGATCAATGGGACCTTAGCTGCCCAGACTTAAGATGCAGAGCCCAGGACTCCTCCCCACTTGGAGCCCTGAGCCCTTTGCTCTCAGGAAGCCACCTCCTCTCCTGGGAGTCCTCACCCCCTCGGCTGTACACAGCTTTGGCATAGTCCGGCTCATAGATGTTCAGGAAGCCAAGGAACGGTCCAAGCCAGAGTGGGTGGGCATAATCGTACTGGTGGGCCCAGGTCACCACCTTGTCCAGGCTCCCCGTCTGCTGGATCTGAAATAGTGACAGAAGGCTGGGATACTCAGGAACCCACTGTCAGCAGACAGGCCCTAAGTCTTTGGGGGAAGGAAGAGGAGAGGCTGCCCAGACAGACACTGGGAACATCCTTGCCTCCCCCTGTACCCCTCTCCCAGCTAGTCACAGTCTTAATTTCTCTGGGCTCAGTCCCTTCTCCAGCCCAGGAGCCACCACTCTAAGCCCAAGCCACCCTCTTCCTGTACCTGGGTGAGGTCAACAAACCCAAAATGACCAACCTGCTTCTATCTGGTTCCTGTCATCAACCCCTCCATCTATCCTACTCTCACGGAGAGATTTCTTTCTCTGTTGTTAACTGTTTTCATGAGAGAGAGAGAGAGAGAGAGAGAGAGAGAGAGAGAGAAAACACCAGCTTGCCGTGCAGTGCAGAAATCTGCTCAATTCCGACACTGTTATGTTATTGGGCTCATTTTTTGAGGACCTACTATGTGCAGGGCACTGTCTAGACATCTCAGGGCATGGGACAGACCTGCTCCTACCCTATGGGGCAGACCGATGCAACTAAACAATGAAGGAACGTGAACACACAGAGCGGGAAGTGCTAGGCAGGGAGCAAGCATGGCGTCAAGAGAGAGACTTCAGGGGAAGCTGCTTAGGGAGATGGAGGCTGGCTTCTGGTGGGAGAGGACATTTGAGGTGAAAGCTGGAGGATGACAAGGAGCTGGCAGTGCAAAGAGCAAGGAGAGCCTTCCAAGAAGAGCAAACAGCAAGCACAAATGCTCTGGCACAGGACAAAGTGGGGTGTCTTCCAGGAGCTGCTACTTGGTGGGACGGTGGCCTGAGGCTGGAGAGGCCATCCAGAGGATGGTGTGTACTCTTTGGGGGGTTTTCTAGCCACATTTACTCACCCAGAGGTGTTTTCTGTAAATGGAGTATACAATAAGCACTTTTCAGAAACCCGCTTTTTTCATTTACTGTGTCTTGTCCTTCTTTTCAAACTAGTGTATTTAACTGTCCTTCAAAATGTTTAACTCTTTTCATTGCATGGTGTTCCATTATAGGGATGTACCCTAATCAGAGGGAGTCTTTCAGAGATCTGCTTAAAACTCGTCCGTTCCCTGCCCATGGGCCTCCGAATAAAGTCTGAGCTCTGGAATTTGTGAGGAGGAGGAGTAATGGCTGATCAGGGAGCTGGAATGTGAACCCAGGAAAGTTGACTTCACAGCCTGCAATCTTTGGACCTTGGAAGGTCTACATTTGAATATTGATTTCCCCTATCTTTTAGATGAGTGAACTTGGGCAAGATCTTTAGGCTCTCTGCATCTTACTCTCCTCATCTATAAAATGGGGATGATAACTTACTTTATAGGATTATTTTGACATTAATTAAATCATGCAGGCCCTGTGTTATTAGTTGGGGTCACAGGGCATTTAAAGCCCTTCACTGATATATTGTGGGAAGAGCTTAGCACTGGATCCTGCACAAGGTAAGCCCTTGACTTGTACTTCCCTCCCCTTCAAGTCTACCTTTCCCCAACATCTGCCTCCTACCTGCATCTCCTGCCACAACCTACTCCCAAATGCCCCCAAACCATGCTAAAGAATTCACTCTGCACATGCTCTAAGATTCTTCCACTCATGGACAAAGGATTCACCTAACCTTGTCTCAGGTCACGTGGGAAGCTGAGCTGGGTTACCCCCTCCATCTCCATTCCCTTGGAAACCTGGTTACTGCATGTGGTCTTCTCTGTTAGTGCCCATCTGCTTTTTTGGGCCACCCAGGCTCCCACAGACCAGGGAAGTACTGGGATTGCCCAGATCTGCTCTCCTCCACGATGGACATCCTTAGGTGCCTGTGGGTGCTCTAGTCTCAGTCCTCCCTCACCCCACCTTGAGGACGCTGCCCATCCCCACAAGATGGAGCTGCACTCAGCGTGTGCATCAGCCCCAACCAATGTCAAAGACAGTAAAGTTGTGTATTCAAAGCTAAACAGTTAGGAGCAACTACCAAGAAGGACCAACAACAATTGAGATGAGGCAGCATGTCTGAAATAACCATAAAAAAATGGACTCAGTTTACACAAACTCTGTGGAGTTAAGTAGAGAGCCATTGGGAGCCTAAAGGGAAGGGATCTAATGTGTACTACTCCCATGGGTAGACAAGTCATCCCCCCCAACCCTGGCGACAAATAGGCAACTTCATTCTCCATCCTCCTTTTCAGATACAAGTGTACTACTACAAATGTACATGTGAACAGGTGTGAACATAACTCAGAAGAGACCCCTGGATCAAGAGAAGGGGCAGAGGAACTTTGAGTGAGACTGACATGGGTCACCATGTCTCTCCTAGACACACATGTTGGCTAAGAAGTGATGGTGGGCCGTGCCCAAAGTCACACAACTCTCAAGTCCAGGTCTTTCCATCCCAAAGCCTATGCTATGCCCCAACATCTTTCTGACTTCAGCACCGAGGATGAGCTCCAGCCCCAAAAATGACTAGATTGGGGGTGGGGGGAGCACAGGGAAGCATCCAGGCACCTAAGAAGGCAGGAGGGCATGGGCCCAAGAAGTGCCCAAGTCCATGGGGATGCAGACATTAGTCCTCACCTCATATGAGTGGTTTTGCTGCCCTGAGTTGGATCCCCCAGGGATTCATTAATGCATTCAGCAAGTAGGCATGGAGTACCCACTCTCAGTGCCAGACATGGTGCTGGCTCCTGGGGGAAGAGTAATGAGCCAGACAAAGCCCTGCCCTCCCCAAGCTCACATTCCAGGTAGGGGAAAGGAAATAAACAGATAACAAAATACATCAGCAATACAATTTCAGGTAGTAATAACTCTAGGAAGAAAAATAAAGAAAGGTAAGGGGCAGGGCTGCTACTGTAGACAGGGAGTTGGGAGGGTTGGGGGAGGCCTCTTTTAGGGAACATTTGAGCAGAGATCAGCAGAAATACCTTCTAGAAAGTCCCGTAGCATTGATCATTGTCTGCCTCTCAAAAGCTGTTCTTTCCCCAACTGTCCCCTCTACCCGTCTACTCCTTGCTCCCAGCAAATTAACCTTGCTCTACTTCACGGACAAAACAGAAGCCATCAGATAAGAGGTTCCTAAAAGTCAACTGCCAGACTTGAAGAACTACCTGCCCTGCACCTAGCCTCCCCACTTTCCTTGCTGTTCCAGTAGAGGAAGTGCCCAGGGTCTGTCCAAGGCCAGTCCCTTTGGATTCCAACCCCTCCCCTCAGGCACTTCACCCATCAGTCAGCCCCTTTCTCTCCCACATCACAGACCCATCCTCATTATTGGCTCCTTCCCATCTGCATTTAAAACATGCTCAAGTCTCTCTTACTTACTAAACAACAACAAAAAACCTCCCTTGGTTTTGTCTCCTCCTCCCCATTTCCTTCTCCTTTCATAACTTCTCAAAAGAATTGTCTCACTGTTTCACTTCCTGCCTCCTCAGCCCCCAGCTCTCCAAAATTGGTCTTGCTATTGTGACCAATGCCCTCCTGGGGGTGGGGGGGGTGAGCCCAGAGGCTTTGCAGCTGCTGTGACACAGTCGAGTCCCCTCTCTTTCTTTTTTTTTAATTTTATTTATTTATTTTTAAATTTTATTTATTTATTCATGAGAGACACAGAGAGAGAGGCAGAGACACAGGCAGAGGGAGAAGCAGGCTCCATGCAGGGAGCCCGACGGGGGACTCGATCCCGGGACCCAGGGATCATGCCCGGAGCCGAAGGCGGATGCTCAAGCGCTGAGCCACTCAGGTGTCCCACCCCCTCTCTTTCTTGAACTCTGTCTAGATGTCTTCCCACTTCTCTTGATACAGCAGCTCTATACCCATTATTTGTAAATCAAAGACTGAGGCTCCCCCAGTTTCAGACTTAGGCTTCTTCTTAGGTTGCACCTTCTCCCTGGAGGCTCTCACCTACTCCCATGGCTTTCTTTGCCATCTACCTGAGACTATTTCCAAAATTGACAGCACGTCCCAGTTTATCTTTCTCCTGAGCTCTGGAAACAGGACACAGCCATCCTCTGGACATCTCTGAATGACACCCTCCAGGCTTCTCAGACCCAGCATTTTCAAACATGAACACAGTACGTCTTCCTCCCAATTCTACCCCTCCTCACATACCTAAGAATGGAATTGCCATCCACTCTGACACCAGCCAGAAACATGGAATGGGGCTTTCTTCATTATTTATAGCAGCACCAGAGGGGATGTCCTACAGAGGCTGTCTCTCTCCTCTGCAAGTCCATCAAACCCTAAAATCAACTAACCAGAACTAAGAGAGCCAGATGTAGCAGTTCCTGGGAAACCCTTCAAATCCAGAATCCAACGGTCCTGTGCCTAAACACACAAGTGCTGCCAGCCCTGAGCCTTCTTGGGTCTCAGATCCCCACATTTTTACACTTAGACCTAGAAATTCATTCCTCCTCGTTACCATCCAGTCTTGTGGCTCGACAAGTCCTTTTCTCTCTTTTGGTGACTTTCCCACATTCAGTTCTGATCCATCTATGTTGATACCACAGTTTAACAAAGCTCCCAGGGCTCTCCTACCCCCCTCCCCATTCCTAGTGCATGTGGGGGACCCCATTGACACCCTTACATCTGGCTATGGTAAAGGGCTTACCCTCTCCCACACCCATGATACCAGGACAGCCTGCCTTACCTTCTGTTCCTCCCCATTTCACTATTCACTCTACTAACATCTGCTTAGATGGCCTCCTCAGCCCTGTCCTACTCCTATTTGGCCTCTGCTTGCCTCCTATTTGGCCTCTGTCAATCTATCCACCATCCCAACCAAGGTGATCTTTCTACCACACAGTTCTGAGCTCATCACTCCCCTGGCTTGAATCTTTTCAAGGTTCCCTGTTGCACTCAGAATAAAGCCTTTCAACATGGCCTACAAGGTCCTATGTGATCTGCCCCACCTTCTTCCAGCTTCGTCCTCTCCATCATGTTCTCCCTCTCACCACTCCAGAAGTATAGAAAAATGAGCACAGGCACATAATAGACCCTGAGAAACAAATATTTGTTGAACATATTAAGTTCCTATACACTCGATGCTCTTTCCAGCCTCTGTACCTCTGCACAGGTAGTATCCTTCACCCTTCCATCCTTCCTTCCCTCCATGGACTGCTACATTCAGATCTTTCCGGGCCCACCCCAGCATACCTTGCCTGCACCCATGGATCTGGAACACCATGCTGTGTTATCCATCTCTCATACAAACTGGGTCACTCTAGGGCCAGCTTTAGTCTTATTACTTTATCCTCTGTCCTCAGCAGAGGTCCAGACCCAGAATTCTTAATCATCTAGTTGTTTGAGAAAAGACAAACCAATAATGGCTCCCAAAGACTGGGTTAGTTTTAGAGGAAGGAAGAGGATGAAGGAAGCAAATACCTCACAGTGTTTTGCAGCAAGAATCCCTCTACAAGGATTTAACACTTGATATCTCTCCAGGAATTTGCAAAGTACCTATCTATACAGTATCTTTTTCAATTCTCTTCTAACTCAACAAGGTAAAAATGTTTATCTCCCTATTGTTGACAAGGAAAGGGAAGCACAGAGCAGAAACATAGTGAAGATCCATCAATGTCTACTGAATAGAAATGAGCCAGAGCCCCAGACCCTCAGACTCTACAGCACAAGATCAAGGGAACTGTCTCAGTAATAAGCAGGGTCAGGGAAGAGGCCTATACAGTCTCAGGGGATCACCTTTCCTGAGCTCAGAGCTGGCATTCTCTCCTCCTCTCCTGACAACGGTCCAGATTCTTGGGCCTCTCCCAACCTCACGCCAACAACATGGCTGGACACCTACTATGTGCAAAGTCCTCTCTGGGCCCCAGAGTAGGAGAAGGGGGACCCTGGAAGAATATGACCCCACCTCAAAGGGACACAATCTGAGAATTGAGAAGGATGTTGCTTCCAGGACCTGTAAACTGCAACCAGAGATAAGAAAGAAGTTAATCCTGATGGACAGCTCTGACCCACCCACCTTCTTTTCCTACTCCCACCATCACTAGGCTAGGAATCAAACTTGCAGTTACTTTGTACAGACAGATCATGTCCTGCATGAAAAGCCACAAGTCTTACACCCAGCCTTGACTCAATTCCTGAACTACTATATATGGACATAAGCGAGTATCTTGCCTTTTCTGAACCTCATCTTTGTTCTGAAAAACAACCCCTACTCCTATCTCCGCATTTCTCAGTCTCGGATGTGGATCTGACCCAGCAGAAGCAACAAAGCCTGGAGGAAGGCAAAGGTGTCAGGCCTGCCATGGTTCCCCAGGAAACCTTTGTCGCCGAAGAGCAAACTCCCGTCTTACCTTTGCCTATTCTTCCTGGTAACGAGTCTCTCCAGATTCTTGTGTTAGAGCCAAGAAGCCAGAGCCAGTCTGTTCCAGGCCCTCTATACACTCTCAAGGTGAGGAGCCGGGGGAGTATTTGGGGGAGGAGGGCAGCCAGCTCTGACATGGGGTAGGGGAGCAAGGTCCCTGTCCTAGGGAAGCTCGTGGGCTGAGGGCAAGCCTAGCTTTGGTGGAAGCAAGTAGTAATGGAGGGATGTAAGAGGCAAGGAATCAAAGGTCTCCCTAAATGCCCCTCACATCCCCAGAGGGTCAGACCTCAACCTTCCCACACCCCTTTCCGTGCTTAGCAAACCTCTCCTGAACCCCACCTGATCTCTCCACTTGTCTTCTTCATCACTGCCTCCTCTATCAAGGCCCCTCCCCACTCCCCAATGCTCTCTGTTTGTTCATTCAGTGATGCCCACTCTGTGCCAGGCTTGGTGCTAAACCCTGAGGGTACAGGGATGAATCAGAATGGATCTCCATCTTCCAGAGGTCATGGTCTAGTGGGCAGGATGAACAAGTAAACAGAAGATGACAATCCAACGAGGTAAATACTGAGATACAGAACATGTGGCTGTTGTAAAATCTTGGTTAGGCATCTCACTCAACCTGGAGCAAGAAGGGCCTTGGTGTCTGTTTTTCCCTCTAGACAGTAGGCTTCTTGAGAGCACCACCTGAGTCTGATTCAGCTCCCTAACTCATCTTTTCCTTTCCTGGATTTCTCCAGGATGCAGCTAGGTTATTAAACCATCCTGAGAAGGTGATTATTTGTAAGAGCAAGATTAAGCCTGAGCAGTCCTCTCCTGGAGGTCAAGCTCATTCTCAGCATCAGCCATGGAGGAGAGAGAATCCCCTAGACAGTGAAAGGAGAAAAGTATTTGGGAATGCCTTAGTCTCTGGCGTTTATACCTGGGTTTCCAAACCTAGATGCACAGCAAAATGCTTGAAGAGGTTTTTATTTTTTTTTAAGATTTTATTTATTTATTCATGAGAGACACAGAGAGAGAGAGGCAGAGACACAGGCAGAGAGAGAAGCAGGCTCCATGCAGGGAGCCCGATGCAGGACTCAATCCTGGGACCCCCGGATCACGGCGCCCTGGGCCGAAGGCAGATGCTCAACCTCAACTGCTGAGCCACCCAAGCTTCCTTTGGAGAGGTTTTTAAATGCAGATTCCTATCCTAATTATATAAAGAACCCCTACAACTCAACAACAACAGTAACAAAAACCAAACAAACAGAAAACAATCCAATTTTCAAATGGGCAGAGGACCTGAACAGACATTTTCCCAAAGACATACAGAAAGCCAACAGGCACATAAAAAGATGCTCAACATCACTCATCATCAGGGAAATACAAATCAAAATCACAATAAGAAATCATCTCACACCTGTCAGGATGGTTATTACTAAAAGAGAGGAAATAATTTGTCGTGGTGAGGATATACAGAAAAGCAAATCCTCATGCACTGTTGTTGGGAATGTATGTTAGTACAGACACTATGGAAAACAGTATAGAGTTTTCTCAAAAAATGAAAAATAGGAGTACGGTACAATTTAGTAATACCACTTCTGAATATTTATCCAGGGAAAATGAAGACACTAGTTCAAAAAGATATATGAGGGCAGCCTGGGTGGCTCAGTGGTTTAGTGCTGCCTTCAGTCCAGGGTGTGATCCTGGAGACCCGGGATCTAGTCCCACATCGGGCTCCCTGCATGGAGTCTGCTTCTCCCTCTGCCTGTGTCTCTGACTCTCTCTGTGTGTCTCTCATGAATAAATAAATAAAATCTTTAAAAAAAGATATATGACCCCAATGTTTATTGCAGCATTATTTACAATAACTAAGATATAGAGGTAACCCAAGCGTCCATCAATAGATGAATGGATAAAGAAGATGTGGCATATATACAGTGGAATCTTACTGAGCCTTAAAAAAGAATGAAATACTGCCACTTGTGACAACATGGATGGACCTAGAGGATACTATACTAAATGAAATGGGAGAGAAAAATACCATGATTTCACCATGACTTCATCATATAGAATCTAAAAAATAAAACAAACAACAACAACAACAAAAAAGAGAAACTGACTCATAGAGAACAAACTAGTGGTTTCCAGAGGGGAAATGGAGTGGAGAGATGGGCAAAAGACGCGAGGGGAATTAAGAGGTACAAACTTCCAGTTACAAAATAAATCCAATAAATAAATAAATAAATAAATAAATAAATAAATAAATAAATAAATCCGTCATGGTGATGCGAAGTTACAGCACAGGGAATATACTCAGTAATATTGTAATAACTTTGTATGGTGACAGATGGTAGCTATGTTTAGTTTTTTTTATTTAATAAAAGAAATTCTGCCAATGCAAATAACATGGATAAACCTGGAGGAAAAAAATGTTTCACTAAAACAAATACATTCAGATCACTAGTTCCAGTATGTTAATTAGAATCTCCTGGGACTGGGGCCAAGGAATCTGCTTCTTCCAGTTGATTCCAATGCAGATGGAAACTGTGTTCAGGAAACTCTTGGTCTGTGTTCAGGAAACTCTTGTCTAGATCTCATAGAGGCAGGGAACTAGAGGTGCTCCTGACAACAGGTGCTAAGGTGATCCCAGCACCCTGAGATAATGAGAGGATAAGCCAGGATCTGAATCCAGGAAGATGCCATGGTTTTGAGCCAGCCCAGAGTCATGGCAGAGAGAACCTCGCCTTTGGGGGTACCAACCACTTAGATACTCCAGGAGGGCTCTCAGGTAACAGCACTCATCTCTGCTTTGACTTTTATTTTCTTAAAATGGAAAACTTTACACCACACAGAACGAAGAGGATGGTGCCTAAGCTCAAAACAAGATAGTCATGTTCTACTGGACTGTCTGGGGGTTTTCTCCCATACTATCACTGAGCTTTGTATGAATTCTGAGCCCGAGAAGGAGGAGAAGGAGTCGAAGGAGTCTCCAGTTGGTCTACTTGGGCTCCAACTTTGACGTGCTCCCACCTACCAGGGCCAGGTCAGAAGGCAGGAGTGAGGGGGAGACCTGCTGGGAAAGCTGAATGGAAACTGTGGTTCTGAGGCCACCATCCCCCTACCTAAGCATAGGGACCCCCTCCACGGCCCCTGGGGAATTAGGCTAGATTCTCTGCAGGAAAGGAAGCTGTTTTCTTTCTTCAACCCCTTCTCCCCACATACCTCCTGGGCATGTCCGAAGAGCCAGTGCATGGGGGGCCCTGGGAAACTGTCCATAGCCCTGGCCAGCATCTGTCTCTGCAACAGCAGACGGATGAGCTTGAGGAAGCCTAAGACCAAGATCAATCCAGTAGCCCACAGGACCAGATGGGAGACACTCAAGGAGAGCAAGGTAGAAACCATGGTTGGAGTTGCAGCCACCAAGGCTCTGGCCTGATTCCTCCCATCCTGGGTTCCCTTATACTGCAGACCCTGGAACCCTGCCAGCCCCCACCTCCAGCCACACCCTGTACCCAGCAGCAACTCAGGCTGGGCTGAGCTCCAAAGTGCAGAGACAGCAGCCCCAAAGTCATAAGACAACAGAGAGACAGCCTAGCTGACTCCTCCCAGAACTCGGCTGAAGAGAAACCCAATAGTGGGCTTCAAAGAAACCAGGCAATGGGTCTGCCTACTTGGTTCTTTGATGGAGAAAACAAAAGGCAATTCTGGGTATAATCATTAGCGTAATAATATCTGCCTTTCCACACAAGCACTTGATATGTCTTAGGAATTTCCTATCCACTATCTTGTTTAACCCAAACAGGGAGGTCATAGCTACTCACTTTTTATACCCATTTTCCACATAATGAAACTGAGCCTCAGCTTGCTTATGCTTTCTTACAAGAAAGCTTCCGCTGTCCTCTTCAGTATAGACCTCTGGGAGGGCTTGCATTTGGGCCAGGCTCATAATGCTTTAAGTCTTTATTTGGGAAGCATCTTCAGGGACAAGGTTCTAGCCCCAGAAGAGAGATCCTAGATCAGAAAAAGGTCAACTCCATCCCCCAGATCTTAGTACAAACTTGACACTTAGGAACACAGAATGTTACTTTCAGGGCAATGAGGAGACAGCGTCAAATCTAATCACTCCTAGGTGAATGGAGCAAACCACTTGGGACCAGAGAGGGGCAGGGAATTGTCCAAGATCTCATGGTAAGGAATGGCAGCTCTCAATTCCCCACGCCTGAGTTCTATTGAAGAACAAGCTTGGGGACGCCTGGGTGGCTCAGCGGTTGAGCATCTGTCTTCGGCTCTGGGCATGATCCTGGGATTCCGGGATTCTGGGATCAGGTCCTGCATCGGGCTCCCTGGGAGGAGCCTGCTTCTCCCTCCACCTATGTCTCTGCCTCTCTCTGTCTCTCACGAATGAATAAATAAAATCTTTAAGAAGAAGAAGAAGAAGAACAACAACAACAACAACAAGCTTGTCCCAGGCCCCAGACTTCCCTGGAGAATCTGCTGTCTCTCCCCCTGTGCTAAATGTCTCAGATGAAGAGACTTGCATGCAGAGGGGAAGGCAGTTAGGGAATTAAACGGTATGAAGTGACAGCCAGAGACTAGCAACAGTGGCTGGAAAAAAACATTCCTGAGGCTGAACGAAGGGGAAGAAATAGCATTGCTGGAGCCTAGTGGAGATAGCTATTGAAGGAGGCTTCAGCAGGAAAAAGTATGGTCAGAGGTGTGCTCCAGGAAGATCTCCCCCTCTGTGCATGTGCGGTGGCTCTGAGCTGGCCTGGGGTAGAAGGGTCCAGAGTCTGGGTTGGCTATCAGGAACAGGAAGTCAGAGGGAAGACTAGCAGGATGGAGAGAGATCCTACATACCTTAACCTGCCACAAATATGGTGCCGCACTCTTGGCCTTTTTTTTTTTTTTAAGATTTTATTTATTTATTTTTTTTTATAAATTAATTTTTATTGGTGTTCAATTTACCAACATACGGAATAACACCCAGTGCTCATCCCGTCAAGTGTCCCCCTCAGTGCCCGTCACCCATTCACCCCCACCCCCTGCCCTCCTCCCCCTCCACCACCCCTTGTTCATTTCCCAGAGTTAGAAGTCTCTATGTTCTGTCTCCCTTTCTGATATTTCTCACACATTTCTTCTCCCTTCCCTAATATTCCCTTTCACTATTATTCATATTCCCCAAATGAATGAGAACATACGCTGTTTGTCCTTCTCCGATTGACTTACTTCACTCAGCATAATACCCTCCAGTTCCATCCACGTTGAAGCAAATGGTGGGTATTTGTCGTTTCTAATGGCTGAGTAATATTCCATTGTATACATAAACCACATCTTTATCCATTCATCCTTCGATGGACACCGAGGCTCCCTCCACAGTTTGGCTATTGTGGACATGGCTGCTAGAAACATCGGGGTGCAGGTGTCCCGGCGTTTCATTGCATCTGAATCTTTGGGGTAAATCCCTAACAGTGCAATTGCTGGGTCGTAGGGCAGGTCTATTTTTAATTCTTTGAGGAACCTCCACACAGTTTTCCAGAGTGGCTGCACCAGTTCACATTCCCACCAACAGTGTAAGAGGGTTCCCTTTTCTCCACATCCTCTCCAACATTTGTTGTTTCCTGCCTTGTTAATTTTCCCCATTCTCACTGGTGTGAGGTGGGATCTCATTGTGGTTTTGATTTGTATTTCCCTAATGGCAAGTGATGCAGAGCATTTTCTCATGTGATTGTTGGCCATGTCTATGTCTTCCTCTGTGAGATTTCTCTTCATGTCTTTTGCCCATTTCGTGATTGGATTGTTTGTTTCGTTGCTGTTGAGTTGAATAAGTTCTTTATAGATTTTGGAAACTAGCCCTTTATCTGATAGGTCATTTGCAAATATCTTCTCCCATTCTGTAGGTTGTCTTTGAGTTTTGTTGACTGTATCCTTTGCTGTGCAAAAGCTTCTTATCTTGATGAAGTCCCAATAGTTCATTTTTGCTTTTGTTTCTTTTCCTTTCGTGGATGTATCTTGCAAGAAGTTACTGTGGCCAAGTTCAAAAAGGGTGTTGCCTGTGTTCTCCTCTAGGATTTTGATGGAATCTTGTCTCACATTTAGATCTTTCATCCATTTTGAGTTTATCTTTGTGTATGGTGCAAGAGAGTGGTCTAGTTTCATTCTTCTGCATGTGGATGTCCAATTTTCCCAGCACCATTTATTGAAGAGACTGTCTTTCTTCCAGTGGATCGTCTTTCCTCTTTTATCGAATATTAGTTGACCATAAAGTTCAGGGTCCACTTCTGGGTTCTCTATTCTGTTCCATTGATCTATGTGTCTGTTTTTGTGCCAGTACCACACTGTCTTGATGACCACAGCTTTGTAGTACAACCTGAAATCTGGCATTGTGGTGCCCCCAGATATGGTTTTCTTTTTTTAAAATTCCCCTGGCTGTTCGGGGTCTTTTCTGATTCCACACAAATCTTAAAATAATTTGTTCTAAGTCTCTGAAGAAAGTCCATGGTATTTTGATAGGGATTGCATTATACGTGTAAATTGCCCTGGGTAACATTGACATTTTCACAATATTAATTCTGCCAATCCATGAGCATGGAATATTTTTCCATCTCTTTGTGTCTTCCTCAATTTCTTTCAGAAGTGTTCTATAGTTTTTAGGGTATATTTTGAGAACCATTTGAATGGTAAATGGTTCTCCAACCTTTTATTTTCAGGCTGTAGGTGTCCTTCTGTCTAAAATGAGTCTCTTGTAGACAGCAAATAGATGGGTCCTGCTTTTTTACCCAGTCTGAAACCCTGCGCCTTTTGATGGGGTCATTAAGCCTGTTCACGTTCAGAGTTACTATTGACAGATAGGAGTTTAGTGTCATCATGATATCTATTTAGTCCTTGGTTTTGTGGATTGTTCCACTGAACTTCTTCTTAAAGGGGAGTTTTAAGAGTCCCCCTTAAAATTTCTTGCAGAGCTGGTTTGGAGGTCACATATTCTTTCAGTTCCTGCCTGTCTTGGAAGCTCTTTATCTCTCCTTCCATTTTGAATGAGAGCCTTGCTGGATAGAGTATTCTTGGTTGCATGTTCTTCTCATTTAGGACCCTGAATATATCCTGCCAGCCCTTTCTGGCCTGCCACGTCTCTGTGGAGAGGTCTGTTGTTACCCTAATATTCCTCCCCATGAAAGTCAGGGACTTCTTGTCTCTTGCTGCTGTAAGGATCTTCTCTTTATCTTTGGAATTTGCAAGCTTCACTATTAAATGTCGAGGTGTTGAACGGTTTTTATTGATTTTAGGGGGGGATCTCTCTATTTCCTGGATCTGAATGCCTGTTTCCCTTCCCAGATTGGGAATGTTTTCAGCTAGGATTTGTTCAAATACATATTCTGGCCCTCTGTCCCTTTCGGCGCCCTCGGGAACCCCAATTAAACGTAGGTTTTTCTTCCGTAGGCTGGCATTTATTTCCCTTAATCTGTCTTCATGGTCCCTTAATTGTCTGTCTCTTTTTTCCTCAGTTTCCCTCTTTGCCATTAACTTGTCTTCTATGTCACTCACTCGTTCTTCCACCTTGTTAACCCTCGTCCTTAGGACTTCTAGTTTGGATTGCATCTCATTCAATTGCTTTTTAATTTCTGCCTGATTGGATCTAAATTCTGCAGTCATGAAGTCTCTTGAGTACTTAATGCTTTTTTCTAGAGCCACCAGTAGCTGTAGAATAGTGCTTCTGAATTGGCTTTCTGACATTGAATTTTAATCCAGATTTTGTAACTCTGTGGGAGAGAGGACTGTTTCTGATTCTTTCTTTTGAGGTGAGGTTTTCCTTCTAGTCATTTTGCTCAGGGCAGAGTGGCCAAAAACAAGTTGTATTGGAACACGGGGGATTATCTTCTGATTCTGTAGACTTTAAGTCCCTTGACTTCCCCTGGAACTGGTCCGTCCAGCTGCTCTTCTGGGGGAGAGGCCTGTTGTGCTGATTTTCAGGTGTTAGCACTTGGGGGAGCTGCTCTGTCCCTGCCTGCTGCAGGGCTCAGTGGGGGTTGTTTACCCCCTGAGGTCCCAGGAGGAACAGCCGCAGTTGCTATGGCAACTCTGGAAGCCTGGATTCAGCCTCCGCAGGAACTCCAGGGCTCTCCGTCTGCAGGGCCTGGAGGCTCCGGGGCGGGGCCGCTGATCTGCTCAGCTCGGGGCAGGAGCGTCCTCGTCCTCGCTGTCCTGGGCCCTCCCGGCCTCTGCCTGTCCCGGGGGAGGCCGGATCCTGGGCTGTGTCCCCGCGCCCTGTGCTCCGGGGCCTGCGCTGTGGGATTCGCGCTCCCGCCCCGCAGCCCCCTCCGCGGAGCCGCCGCCCGAGCCCCTCCGAGCTGCTCCGGGTCCGCCTTGCGCGCTGCAGCCCTTAGGGAGCTCGGCGCACTCTCCCGGGGCGCAGG